GACTCATTCATTGCTGTATCCCCAGGGCCTGGCATGTATTAGCTGCTCAGTTAATAATTGTGAAATGAAGCAAATGAATGGGAGGCTGCTGTATCTCTCGAACTAAATCAGATTTAAATGACACCAGGAAAGCAGGTCATTAGTGGTGGCCACCCCCTGCCAGCTTCTGACAATCCCTCGAAGGGTGTGAAGACAAAGGTCTCTTTCCTCCCCTGGCTACAGACCTGGGCTGCAAACCTGTGTGCCAATAGCTTGTAGCAGCTTACTGTTTAAACAGGTTCTGATGGGGACTTCAGAGGTGACACAAGTGTTGAAGACACGCAGGCCTGGATTCCTGAGCGCCTGTCACTGGGGAAGATGCAGAGCTCAGCCAAAAGAATATTCAGGTTTTTCAGTTTCAGTTCCGGGCAGGCTCAGCTCCCCACTCAGGACCAGAGGGCCCAGTTTCCTGGGACTGCTAACTGAGAGGGTTTAGATTTGGGGATTGCAGGTCCTTTTTCCTCTGAATTAGAGTTTTCCTACTCTCTCACAGTTCCAAATTTGCTCCCCACAAAAACCTTACTGAGCTTTACTAAGAAGCAAAGAATCATCTCAAAAGCCTTTAAGATATTTATAACAATAATAAACGTGTTTTTTGCCAACTGTTTTCACAGGCTTGGCCACCAGTGCTTCACATAATAACCACATGAAGTACGAGTTCCCATCCTCATTTTCTAAATAACATCCCAACCACCACCGTGTACTGAGTGCTCAATATGAACTAAGCTCTTTACGTGTACGAAGTCATTTTAGTTGCACGAGCAGCATGTAAGGGAGGCTGTGTTATTGTCTCTGGCTTCCTGATGAAGAAGTAAGCGTAGAGGGACAAACTGAAACCCGCCATAGACAATAAGTTCAATGATTGGATGGGGCTGTGTGTTCCAATAAAACTTTATTTACAAAACCAGGAAGTGCTCTTGTTTTGGCCCCCAGGCTCTAGTTTGCCTACTCGGTTCCAGACCAGAAGACCTGCCTTCCAGTTAGGAAGAGTCAGGCCCTGGCAACGGCCTTCCTCCCCATCTCCCTGCTCCTGTGAGGTGACTGAGTTACATTTCAGAACAGAGACCAGTGGGCAAGGGGAGAGGTTGAGTGGCCCCTCTTTCCTTGAAGGATTATGAAGCTTTTGGAATTTACAACTATTGGGACTCGTTATTGGCTGCCGTGATGGATCACCATGGGGACTTTAAAACTGTCACTTTAATAGCTGTCAACTGAGTTAACTTTTACAGAAGAAAGTGTTATAGGTTTAGGAAAATACCTAATGGGGCATTTTGACAGTGCAAGGAACTTCTCTTTGGAGAAGGCACTTCTCTGTAGTTGGTGAGCATGGAAATAGAATGAAAAATGTCTCAAGGCAGAAGAAGGTTAACAGGAAGGGGAGGTGGAAATTTGTGTGTGCACACGTGCGTGTGTGTGTGTGTGCGCACGTGCATGTGTGCACATGTGCAGAGAGAGGGTGGAGGAGAAAGAGATTTCCCAAAGACAGGAGGCTGGATTTCTGGCAGGAGAAGGGGACAGAAGGGAGGGCATGACTTTATTTCCCTAACAATTTTATTGAGACATAAGTCATTTACCATATAATCCCCCTGTTTCAAGTGCACAGCTCAGTAGCTTTGTATATTCAGGATTATGTGACCATCATCACAGTCACTTTTAAGATATTTTCATCACCTCAGAAGCCCCGTATCCTTTAACACACTACCCCCACAATCTTCCAGTCCCTCCCCCAACCCTACTCCTAAACAATCACTAATCTGCTTTCTGTCTCTGTAGATTTGCCTGTTCTGGATATTTCGTACAGATGGAATCATATAGTATGTGAGCCTTTGTGACTGGCTTCCACCCAGCGTGATGTTCTCAAGGCCCATCCACGCTGGAGCACATGTCAGAACTTCATTCCTTTTTATGGCAAATAACATCCACATTTTATTTAATCCATTTGTCAGCTGACAGACATTTGGCTCTCATGCAGAACGCAGCCATGAATATTCATGTATGAGTTTTTGTATGGATGTACGTTTTTGCGTTTCTCTTGGGGGTTCTATCCAGGAGTGGAATTGCTGGGTCATGTGCAGCTCCGCGTTAACACTTTGAGGGGCTGCCCAGGGCACATCTCATAGTGCCTTTTTCAACCTTATGTGATGGAAATTTCCTGCGATGCTGAAAATGAGGAAGCACCCCGAATCCATCATCCAGGGTCAACCACAATCAACCTTTTGCTGGTCTTGTTCCTTCTGCCTTCCCTCCTCCACCGTCGCTTCCCACTGAGTAGCTGGAAGCCAGTTCCTACGCTGCACTTGATGGTGTTAACTTGGCTAAGAGATCAGTGTTTTCTTTCATACCAGACCTTCAGTCCAGGTCTCCTATACCCACCTCCTCATGTGGATGGACTTGGGGGACAAAGGAGGAATTGGGGCAGAGTCTAGACTGGGTCAGTGTGAGGTGCAACAGGAATGCTCCTGAGTGACACAGGGCTAGCTACACAATTTGCAAAATGAAAATGTGGAGCCCTTTGTTCAAGATTTAAGAAGCTCAAGATGACACCAGTAGAGCATTAAACCGAACGTAGACCCTGCTCAACTGCACTGGTCATGTGGCCATGAGGCCAGCAAAAGAGCACTCAAGAAGAACTGGTTCATTCGGTGCAGGAGTTTAGAGCCTTGGGTGTCTAGGAGAGACACAAGCACCCCTCTTCCCCAGTCCCTGGAAAGGTTCCGAGGGAAGCTGGGTCTCCCATGGCATGTAGGACAGGATTCAAGCCCATTCCATTTGAATCTCCAAAAATAAGATGACCCCAGTTGACATGTGGGTTATAAGTATATTAGAAAAATAGCCATCTGTCTTAAGCCTTCTTCCCTAAGAGCCTGCATTTGTTTTGTTCGGCCACACCATTTTGTTGTGTACTCTGATATCACAGCGAATAACAGGGCCAGTCTTCAGAACAGAGGCCTGCTGGTGAGCAAACAGTTCAGAGCAGGACCAGGGAAGCCCTTAGAGGCAGGTGGCCACGACAGACTTTGGCATCCAATCATGGCACCCAGTCCCTCCCAGCTCAGACAGAGCTCCATTATCCTTGAAGCATGGCCTCCGGCAGCCAAAGGAACCTCATTTCCTGTGCTTATCTAGACTCTCAACCTAAGAATTCACCCAGAGATTCAGAGCCTACCTTGTGTATTGGGATGACACTCAAGGATGCACTCAGGCTAACAGAACCTTGTCGTGAAGGGGAACAGAACTCCACTGGGAAGGAGAGAGAGCATGGAAGAGATGGACTCCTTGAGGAGAGAACAGATAAGGACTTTGTAGCTCCTTCTGTTCTCTGTGGGATGTTCAACCAATGAGTGAATGCTCATTCATTTATTCAATTATTTGAGTACCTACTCTGCATAAGGGGCTGTCCTGGGCATGCGCAATACGTTCCTACCCTCAGGGGCAGGAGAGGCCGTCATAAACCAAAGAAGAAGAAAACGTTTTATATTTGATTAAAATAATGTCTTAACAATGGCAAAAAACAGCTACAAGTCTGAGTAAATCCCACTGGCAATTTGGGGGTTTATAGACAAAGTGGATCTTAAACCGAAGCCCAACTCCGGATTGAAGCAATTCTCGGCAGAGCGGATGTAGAAGCAGCCCAGCCAGGAGAAGGCTCCGGGGGAGGAGGTAGGTGGCTCTGGGTTTTGTTTTGGGGTGTTTTTTTTCCCTGCCAGCACTTTCTACCCCACTTGTGGTAACGGACGCAGTGCCCAATGGGAATACAGCCGAAGGTGGCCCCTTACAACACCCAAGCCTCAGCTGTAGTCATTGGTCCAGGTGTGGGCGCGTGACCTAACATGACCAATCACAGCTGCTCACTTCGAGGTGGGCCGCAGTGATTGGGCCAGGTGTGATCATGTGACCCAGCAGGGCCAATCCAGGATTGTCCTAACTAGCTGGTGGGAAGGTTGCTTTCTCCCCACCCCCTCTCCAGCATCCAGAGCTACCTGTGACCCAGAGACTGAGGCCAGAATGGAGGGAGGGATAAGGAATGGACAGGATGGGGGGATGGGGGATGGGTAGGGGAGTACGGGAGAGACTGGCGCTGTGTGCTGTCCCTGGATCCAAGAGCAGCCAGCCTCTCATTCATCATAGCTACATAAGGGATGAATCCCCCGTCTTGCCTCAGTCAGATCAACTCTGGTTTCTCGACGGCCCAAAGCATCCCAAAACCAGGACTTGGGAACCGTTTCTCTGTTTCACATGGATTATGTGAAACTAAATGGCGTATATTATCCTCAGAACTCATTTTCCCCTCGGTTAGCCTGCTGTGCTGGAGAACGAGAGATTCTCCAGACAAATCTCCATACCCTGCCTCGACTGCCTCTCCCCCAGTTAATTTACCACTGAATCAGAGCTAAACATTTGCTCCTGGACTTCTGGTCCTGCCCTCTTGCTGCTGGCTTCCATCTCCTCGACCTCACTCCCAACACACTCTCACCTCTCTGGCCCACCCTGCTCTCCACCAAGGACGGAGCCTGCAGCTTGTCCTGGCCTCTGCTCTGATCCCCACCATGTTATAGTTGTAAAGGTTTACTTAGGACTCTGCCCTGCATGAGTGGTGACCTTGAGCATGGGGACCCAGGTCTCACTCATCTTTGCACCCTCAGCTGCTGGCATGCAGCAAGGGGGCAGCACGTGTGGGAGGGAAGGAGGCAAGGAAAGGAGGAGGGGAGATAGGATCGCTCATTCCTACTGATTCTGGTTGCTCACATGGTCACGGTCATGTTCTAGACTTATTTCCTCTGCCAGATACTCTTCTGTCAGGAGGACACAGCTCGTGCCTCACCTCCTTCAGGCCTCTCCTCCAATGTTACCTTCCCTGTGAACTACATTCTCCCAGACCCGTTTTCTTCCCTCTTTTTTAATATCTATTTTATTTACTTTGTAGGGTTTTTGGTTTTGGGGGGGAGGTAATTAGGTTCATTTAGTTAGTTATTTTAATGGAGGTACTGGGAATTGAACCCAGGACCTCGTGCATGCTAAGCATGTGCTCTAACCATTGAGCTATACCCTCCCCCCTCTCCCAGTCCCCTGCTTGACCGCTGCCCCTCTTCCAACCTTTCTTGTTCTCTTTCTTCTTCCCATCCACCACCATCAGTCTTTCTCCATGTTTTATTTATTTTATTTACTGTCTCTCACTGAAGTGTCAGCTCCAGGTGGGCAGCCATCTTTGATTTGTTCTCCACTGTATCCTCAGCACCTACTAGGTGCTCAGTAAATATCTGTGGAATCAATGGATGAATTCACCAAAACCACAGTCTTACCAAATTTGTTTCTCAAAGTACCGATGCACTTTATGCATTTTACATGTGTTAATGAAAGTCAGGTGATGTACTAGTTTCCTAGGGCTGTCATAACAAATTACAAGTGGAGTGGCTTAAAGCAACAGAAATGTATTATTTCACAGTTCTGGAGGCTAGAAGTCCAAAATCTGGCAGGGCTGAGTACCCCCCGAGGTGCTCCGGAGCAAAATCTGTTCCTTATCTCTTCCAGCTTCTGGTGGCTCCAGAATTCCTTGACTTATGGTCACATCACTCTGATCTCTGCCCCTGTCTTCATACGTTTTCTCTGTGTCTGTCTCTGCTTCTCTCATGTAAAGATACATGTAATTGCATTTAGTATCCAGCTGAATACTCCAGGATGAATGCCACCTCTCAACTCAAGATCCTTAACTTAATCTCATCTTTTTCCATGTAAGATAACCTGTGAAGGTTCTGGGGCTGAGAAGTAGATATATCTTTTCTTTCTCTGGGGGCCACTGTTCAGCCCACTATGTTATTTGCACGAAGACCAGAAAAGCAAAGATTCCCATGACCACTCCGCTGGCCTGACAGATATGTAATGAGTATGTTGCTTCAGTCAGACCCTGGAAATGATTTTTAAAACACCATTTTATGTTTTTTAATTATCCCAATTAAAAAAATAATAATACCATGCTCATGATAAGGAACACAGTACAGAATTGTGGGAGATGCAAGAGCCCTTTGCAATTTTTCTCTAACTCCAATTTCAGTTTCTAAATGTAACCACTGTAGGCAGTTGGCATACTCTCCATAAATTTTCTAAGCATATTCGAGAGCATACACTTTTTTTTGCTCATAACATTAGGAAAATTGGGGGCATGACAATATATTCTGAAGACCTGACAGCCCTCCAATCCACCCCAATCTTTCTAATGACTTCTAGCAATGCACCATACTTAACCTGTCCCCTACTGGCCAACATTTCCGTTCGACTCCAGGATTTTGCCGTTATAACACACAGACTCCCTGGCACTTGGCCAGGTATATTCGTAGGATACATTCCTAGAATTGGGATGTCTGAGTCAGAGGATGTGTGCATTTTTAATTTCTGTAGCTACTGCCCGGTACCCTCCACAAAGGTGGCATCAGCCACACACCCATCAGCAATGCACACGTGAGGGTACCTGCTTCCATCACCCTCACCCACCCTGGCAAGGATGCAGCACGTCGGGGGAAGCAAATCCCAAATTCAGGTAAGTGGACTTTCCATGTGGGCCTGAGTAGGGGTGGACACAGCCTCCGAGGTTATCCCTTTAGCCTGCGGAGGCGCTAAGCCATCCAGGGTTCTCATTTGGGTCTCATAAACAAAGGCAGGGCTTGGGGAGGTGAGCCAGAACCATGCTGCGAGATGCCTTGTGCAGCTCAGTATTTATTTCTTCAGTGCAGTTAGAACTTAAATATGGTCAAAACATATTCTTCTTTTAATTTACACAAACAAATATGTTCCCAGGCTGACACCTCTGGTGCCAAGTTTCTAGGGGAAATGAAATTCTACTGTGAGATTATAAACCACTAGAGAAAAGATGAGGATGGAAAAGCCGCCGCCGTCAGCTTCGCGCGTCCGAGCGGGGCTGCTGAGAGATGTTTCAGAACCGGGCTGCTGCTTCTCAGTCTCTTTCTGTTTTTGTTGCAGATAAACCTGCCAGTAATTTTAGCAAATGAAACATGGAATGCCTAAAGGCCAGAGGATGGAAAACGCTCCGGTTTTGATAAAAGGAGGTCTGCTCGGCTTGGACTCCTCCGTCCTGCTAGTCAGGAGACGCAAAGATTTATCCAGAGAGGGGCTGATGAACTGAGGAAAGAGAAATGAGGCCAATGTGAGTTGCCTTTCAAGAGCTGTGCTAATATAAAACCAAGCAACTTGAATTAGCTCCAAGAGGGGATTAAAGCAACATGTTATTTTGAGTGATTGCTTAATTTATTGAGCTGTGGCTAGATCTGTAATGAAATACAGCACTTGCAACTGATAACCTCCTGCTGCAGTTGAACTTCTACTACAATTAAGGAATATTCTCGGAGAGTTTCTCTGGAACAGCTCAGAATTTTTAGTCTGTGGTGGGGTGCTTCTGTGGACTCATTTTCCAGGCAAGCTTTTTTTTTTTTTTTTTTTGCCTTTAAAGAGTGACGGGTTGATGTTAATAAGGAAAATCAGCGGTGTTTTACTGAATGCATTGTGTGCACTGGGTGCTTAACATACATCATCTCTAATCCTGACAGCAGCCCAAGGAAGTAACTCTTATATAAGTCCCCACTTTACAGCTATGAGGTTCAAAGATGTTAAGTAATTTTCCAAAGTGGCGCTGTCCAAGATGGTAGCTACTGGCCACTTGGGGTTATTTCTGTGTATAATAGTTCACATTTTAAAAAATCTAAAAATTCACTTCCTAGGTTGCACTTAATAACTAGTTCAAGTGCCCAATAGCCACACGGGGCTAGTGGCCACCACACTGGACAGCACAGAGAGCGACTGTTTTGATGACCGCAGAAGGTCCTGTGCCATTGACCAGTGCCGTTCCAGAGATTTCACAGGTAGAAACTGGCCGGTCAGATTTCAAACCCAAACTAATGGGCTTTCAGGGCAGCATCTTCCACCCCACCTGGCTTCCTTTTTCTCCTTTGGCTGAGAAGCAAGGACTCAAGCAGCTATTCTAAACCCTACGTGCGGCTGCACGTTAAAATTACCTGGACTGCTTTAAAATACAGTATCGCTGCTAGGCTCCCAGCCCTAGAGATGCTGACTGGTGATTTGGAGGGGTTTTTATAGTGTCCCTTGCGACTTAAGTGTGCAGCCAGGATTGACGGCAGTTAGATGAGAGGGTCCACACACAGTATGGTGGAAGGAACTGGTTCGTCTGCCATGAGCATGTGGTCCTTTGTGGACCCTTTTGGACCCTGACCCTCTCAGAGCCACTCCTAAGCCTCCTGAGCCGTCAGAGAGCTCAGGTTCATTTCTGAGGGAAAGACTTGAGTACTTTCTCACACGCTTCCTGCTTGATGGATGGAGACACACAACTCAGAGCACTGCCATGGCAGAAAGGAGCTGTGGATGTAAGATTACGGAGACGAAGTGAACAACTGGAGTCCCAAATTTGAATTGAAAGCATCCGTGTTTTGCCTTACAAAATAAAGCATGCGTTTCCTACCTCTGTTCACTGAAAAGCTGAGAAATAATGGGCAGTTCTGTAACAGTGAGCACCCCCAGCACCCACAGGGCGGTCTCTAAGCACCACTTACTTCTAAGCAGACGTGCTCTGTGGAGGTTCTGTGGAGAGAGGGCTGATTCCAGGTCTGAGGCAGGAAATGTGTGAGTTGAGCCTGGAACGTCTTGTCATCCCAGTCGCACGGAAGCTGTCAGAGACTTTCAGGGACACGTCAAAAAGGAGGCAGGAAGGGAACATGAAGAGGCTCCCACGGGCCAAAGATGGGAGAGTTTGAGCATCGCTAAGAATAATAACTGCAAGGGATGGAAACGTGTCATAAACATCCAAGTCTGCAAGTCCACAATGATACTGAGAAAAACAGAAACTCACTTGTCATCTTTGGAGAAGGCTGGGAAACCAACCTCTTATTTTTGTCAAATAAAGGGAAAGAATCAAGCATTTGTTCTTTCTGGTATGAACCATACTTTACAGTAACCAAGGAGTTGATATGGGGAAGTTTGTTTATAGAAGAACCCCAGCTAACAAAGACAGAAAGAGAGAAGTAGTAAGCCACCATTTTGCAACCTCTCATGCATCTAGACAGCGATCATCAATGGCTGCCAACACCTCGAAGAGGGACAACCACACGTTGCGTGCCTTCAAATAGAAATATGAGACAGCCACTGGGAAGGAGTCCTACACACACACACACACACACACACACACAAAACTAAATCTAAATGAATCTAAGTGAACTTCTAGATCTTACTACTGATTTATAAGAAATATAATAGGGAGAAGAACACGTGTAACACCAAGATGGGGATGCAATAAGCAAGACCCAGATTGGGACATTCTACAACCAGCTCAGTTTCTTCAACAAATAAATTGCAAGAGAAGGAAAAAGGAGGGAGGGAAAACCCACAGATTAAGAAAGATGTCAGAGACGTATCAACCAGTCACAATGTATGAGATTTATATGGATCCTGATGTTAACCAACTGTAGAGAAAACATTCATGAGACAACTAAAAAAATCTGAACACTAGATATTTGCTGATATTAAAGCATTACTGTCAGTTTTAGTAGGGGTGATGGTGGTGAAAAAAATCCTTTTTATTTGGAGTTATATACTCCAATATTTGCAGAAGAAATGGGTAATGTCTGGAATTTGCTTCTAAGTATCTGAGATGAGGGAGGAGGGGAAGAGGGTATAGATGGAACAAGACTGGCCAAGAACTGGTGATTATTGAAGCTGGGTGCTGGGTAGCGGGGGTTTATTGTACCATGTACTCTACTCTTGTGTACACTTAAAGTTTTTTCCTGATAAAGATAAATAAGAATCAGCCTTTTCCTTCCCTTCTCTCAAGGGTATTGGTTTGGCCCACCCACCCACTGCTGGCATCTCTGGGGCAAGCCTGGGGAGCAGGTTTGAGATACTTCTCAGCACATCATGTGTGCATATCCCCTCCTGTCTCCATGGTGACCAGTGAGGTGAGGAAGCAGCATCCAAAAGGCTCCTGTCCACATGAGGATCTGGCCAGGCTGCCGGCGTTGTGCCCGGCCCGCCATAGCTGCTCCCTTTGGAGAATTCCTAGTCAGATCGTCACAGCCCCCAGATCTGCCTCCTTGTACCCCTCTGCCATCACCCTTGCCCTCCCTTTGACCCTCTGAGGAAGTAGAGGCCAATTAGTGGAGAGAACAGAACCCTGAATTGGATCCAGGTTCAAATTTTGACTTCTCTTCTTAATGGCAGAACCTTGAACTTCCCTGGGCCTCGATGTTCTCACCTGTAAAACAGGCATAATGTGACATCAACTAACTCAACAAATCTTTATTATGGGAGGACAGTGGCAAAAAGGACCTAGTTTTATGGAACTAGACACTTGGAGGTAAGAAGAAAATATTAAAAGTATGTACTATGATAAAGGACAAGCTGTAAAACATTTTTTTGAAAACTGGCAGTCAGTCCTTAGGACATCTAACTCTCAGTGGTACTTCTCGTTGATCAGGATCTCCACACTTTCCAACGACTGAGTATCCAGCTCGGCCGGACCCACAGAATATTTTCACTTAACTGCGTGCTCATATTTCCATGAAGTAAGTGCTATTCTTCCCATTTCATGGGGGAGGAGCTAGGTATGGAGAGGTGAGGTGACTTGGCCACAGCTGCACTGTGGGTACACTGCCCTGTCTTCTTTGCTCGGCCTCCTGCGTTGATTAAGCTCTGAAATGCATTAGCATGGCCAGGAAACCAGAATTAGCAGGAGACCAAGAACTCTCCAGGTCAAACTCCGTTTTGCAAATGAGGAAACAGTGCCCAGAGAGGCCAAGTAACTTGTTCCAAGCCACACAGCCAACGAGCTGCTTAGTCTGTACCCAGGCTGCTAGGGGAGAAGGTGCAGGGAAGTCTCACACGGTGAAGGAGGCTGACTCTTCCTGTCCCTTTTTTTTTTTTGGTGGGGGAGGTAATTAGATTTATTATTATTTTTTTTAATGGAGGTACTGGGGATTGAACCCAGGACCTCATGCATGCTAAGCATGTGCACTACTGCGTGAGCTATACCCTCCCTCATTACTGTCCCATTTAATCCTGTGCCAGGGTGGGGTGACCAGCCATCCTGGGATTTCCTGGGACTGAGGACTTCGGGCATTTAACCCAGGAAAGTCCTCAGCTAACTGAGATGAGTTGATCATGCTGTCTCACAGCGAGGCGTCTAAATGGATGTTTTCCAAGACATATGGCTGAGAAGCAGCACCAAGTTCCCACAGAAATACCAGGGTTTCACGCTTTATATAATTAACTGATTAAAAAAAATTTTTAATGGAGGTACTGGGGGTTGAACCCAGGACCCTGTGCATGCTAAGAATGGGCTCCACCACTAAGCTATACCCTCCCTCCATTACCTCATCATTAATATCTAGTCTCCCACCACCCCAGCTAGACCATCAGTCCATGGGGGCAGGGACCAATATGTGATGTTCACTTCTGTTTTACAGCCCCTGAGTCAGTGGTGACACATGAATGATGCTCGACAAATAGTCATTGATGGACCAACCAAAGCTACCGTCACCTCTGACTGGGCCTCCATCCGAGACTGCAGAAATCCTCTGTGACCTCCAGTTCCCATTCCAGACAGGCTAGCATCCGTGATGTCACACGACAGAAGGTGTTTCCAGAGAAAGACTGGCCGAGAGGCTGGCGGACAGGATCGGGTGTGTTTTTTCTTTAATTATTGTACCTGTTCTGTCTGTTCTCTCTTGGCTCGGTTCACACACACACCCCCACCGCCCCAGCACCAGCTCAGGAAAAAACAAAACCAAAACAAAGCATTACGGCAGAGGTTGAGCCACGATAGCTGGCTGGTTCCCTCTCTGCTTGTAATTAATGCTGAAAATGTTCATGACTTGCCTTGGCCACAAAGATAATAATAAAATTATGCAGTCTGATTATTTGGCTACCAATTCTTCTCTTCTTCTTCTTCTTTTTTTCCTTCCCCTCTCCTTAAATTAATTCCAGAGTTCCTCCAGATTTCTCGTTGCTAAGCTATAAAGTTCCAGGTTTCGCAGCGCCCGTGCTGATTGGCAGGGAGGCTCCGGGCAGCTCCAATCAGAAGCAAGTTGCTGAAAGGAGCATCCACATCACAGCTTGCCCCGGGGTTTTGGAATTTTCTCCCCGATGTTATGAGCCATCAAGGTCTTTGTCTAACTGTATAAAACCTGTTTTCTTGATATTGTCTGCCTCTCTCTCTGGAGTGCAGGCTGTTGAGGGATGCCAGAGGTCCTGGAGGAATAGGGAATCCTCGGGTCGCCAGGTTGGGGTCTGCGACAGAAATATTAGGGTCTGTGATGGTTGACCACAGACGACAGCGTGGTGCCCTGCCATGGGCAGGAGGATGCCTCAAACCGCCCCCCTCCCCAGACTGACCTCTCCTGTGCCATTTCTTAAGCTTGGTGCAAAGCGAAGGAGGAAAAGTAGATGCCATGGAATGTGGTATTGGGGTAGAGGCTGCATGTAAAGGACCTTAAAACATGTAGATGGTAAGGGCACCACAGAGGGCCGTTCTCGTGTTTCACCTCCAGAAACCGAATGCAAACAGCCACCACGAACTGAGTTCCTATCGCATGCCGGGAACTGTTTTCATTTTTAAGTCCACTCTGTTGAGGTACGAGTGACATGCAAAAAGCTGTCTGTGTTTAATGTATACAACTTGATGAGTTTGGAGATAAGTCTACACCTGTGAAGACATCAGCACAGTCTATACCATAAATATATCCACCATCTCCAAAATTCCCTCTTGCCTTCCTTATTATTCTTTTTTTTTATTGTGATAGGAACGTTTAACATAAGATCTACCCTCTTAGCAAAATTTTAGGCATACAGAACAGTATTACTAACTATCAGTACCATGCTGTACGTTAACTCTCCAGGACTTAACTCATCTTGCCTAATGAAGCTTTGTACCCAGTATCTCCCTATTTCCCCCTCCTCCCACCACCTGACAATCCCGGTTCTGCTCTCCGGTTCTGAGTTTGACTATTAGATTCCGTATGTAACTGGTATCATGTAGTATATGTCCTGTGACTAGCTTATTTTACTGAGCATAATGTCCTCCAGGTTCATCCATGTGTTCACATATTTCGGGATTTCCTCTTTTTTAAAGGCTGAATAATATTCCATTGTATATATCACATTTTCCTTTATCCAGTCATCTGTCAATGGACATTTAAGTTGCTTCCACGTCCTGGCTCTTGTGCTAGAAACTTCGCATACAACATCTCCTCCCATCCCAAAACTCTCATCGGACAGATGGAGAACAGGATGGACGTCTGCTGGTTTTGCCTGCACTGCTTCACCTTTCACTAACAGGGGAGCCATGCCACAGGGGAAATCATGTGACCCAGATCCGGCCACAGTGATTGGCTCTGGGATGGGCACATGATCAAGCTGGGCCAATCAGAATCATCCTTGTGCCTTTTTTTTTTTTGCCAGAACTATAGGAAAAGAGCCCCTCTCTTACCACTGGATTTACGGAGCTAGTGATGACTGTGAACACATGTGGAAGGTGCCTGAGGGAGATTAGGAGCCCCTGTGATAATGCGTGAGTTCCAGATGCAGCTGTCAGGGATCTCAGATCTCAGATTTCCTGGCTTTCAGTTAAAGAACCGTAAATTATTTGTCTGTTGAAGCCGATTTGCCTTGTGTATCTGTTGCTACTGACAGAGTGTGACTAATACTGACATACACTTTGTCCTCTTGGTGCCTGGCTCTGGGTTGGGCGATTTGCATGTATTCCCATATCCGGTCCTCACAATCACCTGGTGAGGTATTCCATTTTGCAGATAGGAAAACCAAGGCTCAGAGGGGTGAGGGAGCCTGGCCCAGATAATACTGCCAGTATGTGCTCAGGGAGTCAAACCTGGTCTAATTCTTGGATGTCCTGGGGACTTGGAGCCCCTCACAGCTGCCCGCCCCAGCCTCACCCGCGCCGGCCAGCGCCTGGGGGAATATGTGTCAACAGACGCCCTTGGGCTGCAACCACATGTGGTTTGTTGCTCAGCATTGCAGTGGGAAGCTTGGCTGTATTTGTCACAACTGTTAGTGTTTGGTTATGTTTAATCAAGGCCGTGGAGGTGGGGCGCATGTGTGAGAGAAAGAGAACGCTATATATAATCTCTTGTGCACAAAGCCTGCTGTAAGATTGCCGGACCCTCCCCACTTCCCAAATACAGATGACAAAAAAAGTAAACTGAGCAAGAGCACAGATCTCTTTAGAAATCGGAGTGAACAACAAGGTCCTACTGTAGAGCACAGGGAACTATATCCAAGCTCTAATAACCTATCATGACAGAGAATATGAAAAAGAATATATGTGTGTATAACTGAATCACTATGCTGTACACCAGACACTAACACAACATTGTAAATCAACTCTATTTAATTTAAGAAGAAAGGAAAAGAAAAAGAAATCAGAGTGTTTGAACTCAACAGCAGAGAGTTGCTATTTATTCTGAACTCCGTGAAATAAGACGACTTCTCATCACCAGATAAGTCATCAAGGCGATGTGCTGTTTGAATGCCAAAAGCCATTCGTCTGTTCACCCATCCACCCATCATTTGCTAAGTTCCCGCTATAATTACTGTAATAACATTAATAGCTGCAATAATAACAATCGTTCCTATTCAATGGGCACTTCCTAAGAGATAGGCTAAGTGCTTGAATGCATCATCTGCTTAACTCTCACAAACAAGTCTATAAAACAGATGCCAAGAGACCCAGTTCACAGAGGGGGTAAGTGAGGCACAGAGAGGTTATGACACTGGCCTAAGACTTCACAGCCCGCTATGGTAGATTGAATATGGCCAGCTCCTCCCACCAAGAGGGGGATTCTGTTTCTCCACTCCCCTGAATCTAGGCTAGCCTCATGACTTGCTCTGAATGATAGAAAGTGCCAGAAGTAGTGCTGTTTAGCCCCAAGCCCAGGCCCCAAGAAGCCTGGCAGCTGCTGTTTTTGTTGACTTGGAATGCTGACTTGAAGCCTCCACAAAAGGAAGCAGGTCTCACTGACTGGAAGGTAAGAGGCCAACTGAGGCCACCCAACCAACAGCCAGCCCCAGTGGCCACACATGTGAGGGAGGCCACCTCGACCTTCCAGCCTGGCTGAGCCTCCGGCCAAGGGAACCTAGTCAAAACCAACAGAGTAGCCACCAAGCTAATTACAGAATCATGAAAAATAATAAATTGTTTTAAGCTGACTGTTTTGGGGGCTGTTTGTCATGCAGCAAAGGCTAATTGAGACACATTGTAAGACGCCAAGCCAATATTCTAACCCAGGTCTCCCATGTTTGGAATCTGGGCCTCTCAGAGGCAGGGACCACGATCACACGGCTGAAGAGGATGCAGCCCCTGAGCGTGGGGAGCTCAAGGGACACACACTCCAACAAAGACCCTGCTGGGTCATCCAGGTAAGGGAAGTTGTGTCCCAGAGGATGGGTTCCCGGGACACTGACTTATGTGTTTCATTTATACAGCAACCAACTGCTGTGTACCTACCAGGTGACAGTCGCTGTCGTAGTGCTGGATATGTGGCAGCAAGCAACAGATCTCTGATCTCAGGAAGCTTGAAATTTAGGGGAGAAGACAGACAAAAGGAAATCAGTAACCAAGCAATGACAAGTTACAGAAGAAACTGAGCATCCCCGAGGAGACAAAATAATGGACTGAAGTACACTTTTTAGATCAAGTGATCAGGAGAGATTTCTCCAAGAAGGTGACGCTGAAGCTGAGCCCACCAGAATGACAGAGAGACATGCAAAGAGTTATAGGAAGAATAATCCAAGTTGAAGCAGCTGCATGAGCAAAGTCCCTGAGGAAAAAGGGAGAACTGGAATTTCTAGTAACGTGGGACCAGCGTGGGTGAGGAGGAGAGTGGATGAAGACCAAGAAGGAAGTGTGGGTCAAGCCAGAAGGCTGTCTTAGTTCCTTTGGGCTGTGAGAACCAAAGACCACAGACTGGGGCTTACAAACAACTAAGTTCACTTCTTACAGTTCTGGAGGCTGGGAGTCCAAAGTCAAGATGCCAGCCAGTTCAGTGTCCAGTGAGGACCCGCTTCTGGTTCATAGACAGCTGTGTTCTCCCTGTGTCCTCACATAGCAGACAGGGAAAGGCACTCTGTGGAGCGGCTTTTATAAGGGTTCCACCCTCATGACCTAATCACTCCCCAAAGCCCCACTTCCGAATACCACCATGTGGAGGATTCAGTTTCAACATATGAATTTTCAGGGGACACAAACATTCAGTCTAAAGCAGACGTTATGAGAAACGACTGGAAATTTTCTCCAAGTGTGTTGGGACAGCCATGGGAAGTTTTGAGCAGAAGAGAACCATGATTTCATTTAGATTTCAGTAGACACCTCTATTGTGTGGATGACGGATTAAAGTGAGGCCATGGAAGGAGGGATACTAACAAAGATGCTGCTGCAGTTGTCCAGGAAGAGATGTTGTTTGGGGCGGTGGCTGTGGAGTTGAGGAAGGCAGTTGAGATGCATTTTGGAAGAAGACTTGATAGATTTTAGAATACTGGGTTAGCTTGAGCTCCCCCAGAAGCAGAGCTGAGACAAGGATTAGAATAGTGGGAGTAATCTGTGTAGGAGGGGATCTGAGGTAGCTTGGGTGGGGAGGAGGAAGGGACACAAGAAAGGAAGCTGGGGACTCATTTCCACTGAGGAATCTGGGAGGACCATTGAACATACACCTCAGAACAGATCCATCTGAGAGGGAAGGGAACTGGGGTGTTTACTTACTGGATCTCTGTAGTCACTGCTTACAGTAGTGACAAAATACCTTATTTCCCCATATGGTTTCTAACTCTAGCTAGATATTTCCAACCACTCTTGACATAATGAGGCTCCAACTTTGTCCCATCTGGAGGTGAGCATGTTGGCATGTTTCTTAAATGCAACCCAGCCCTCTCCATGCCATAAATGTCCAATCCCATTTTCTGAGGCAGATATAGGTGCTCCCACCCAGCCCCTAGCCAGGCAAGTCTACTCTTTCACACCAACCCATTGTGGCTCTTCAAACACGGTACCTGGATAATGTGATGCAACACCCTTTTCTGTTCC